TTGCAAGTGCATGCGCAACTGGTTAAATCTGGCCATGGGGATGAGAATTGCGTTGGGAATTCTTTGGTGGATATGTACATGAAGAATCAGAGACTGGCAGATGGTTTCAGAGCTTTCCAGGAAATGCCTCAAAGAGATGTGTCCTCTTGGACACAAATGGCCGTTGGCTGCCTGCAGTGTGGGAAACCAGGAATTGCATTGGAGGTCATTGCAGAGATGAGAAAGACAGGTGTAAAACCCAATAGGTTTACCCTAGCAACTGCCTTTAATGCCTGTGCCATTCTATCTTCATGGGAGGAAGGGAAGAAACTCCATGGCTTGAGAATTAAACTTGGGACCGAAACTGATGTCTGTGTGGATAATGCACTACTTGATATGTATGCAAAATGTGGATCAATGGATGCTGCGTGGACTGTTTTCCAATTGATGAATGATCGTTCTATTGTTTCATGGACAACAATGATAGTGGGTTGTGCACAGAATGGGCAAGCAAGGAAAGCTCTCAAGATTTTTGATGAGATGATACTAGAGGGGATAGAACCAAATTATGTCACCTTCATTTGTTTGCTTTATGCATGCAGCCAAGGAGGGTTTATTGATGAGGGATGGAAATATTTCTTCTCCATGAGCAATGACCATGGACTTTTCCCTGGAGAAGATCACTATGCATGCATGGTAAATCTACTTGGCCGAGGTGGGCTCATTAAAGAAGCAGAGGAGTTAATATTGGCAATGCCATTTAAACCAGGCATGTTGGTTTGGCAAACCCTGCTTGGTGCTTATCAACTTCATGGGGATATTCAAACTGGGAAACGAGCTGCAGAGCGTGCAATGAATTTGGATAAAAAGCACCCTTCAAGTTATGTGTTGCTATCAAACATGTTTGCTGGCTTGAACAATTGGCTTGGCGTTGGAGATTTAAGAGAGCTAATGGAGACCAGTGATGTAAAGAAAATTCCAGGATCCAGTTGGATTGAGGATCTGAGATAGAAAAAGAGTGCTTGATCCATCCAGTACACTGGAGATTGCCGTCTAGGGAGAGATTGCATAGTCCATCCGACATACATTTGTACCGCTCCCAAACATGCAATGATCTTGTCTGAAGGCGGAGGAAAGGAAACATGTCATCCCCATTTTGGAGTTATAGCCTTTGAAGGAAAGGAATGTAACCGTTGATAACAAACATAAAAGTCCCAAAAAGGTATACGGAACTGAGAACTCCCAGGCTTGTTTCTTAAGGCCGAA